AATACTGTATTTCATTTGACCTAAGACGAATCTGATGGGTGTGGTGTCTGTGCTGTGTCAACACCAGCAGGTAGAATAGATGCTGTGACCAGCTGTGAGATGGTGGTGGGGTTTATACAACAGGATATTGGCCATACGGAGTTGTAAAGATTAGGTGGACTCTGTACAGCTGCTCTGTCAGGTCTGCATCTGTGAGTTTTAAGACAGTGCAAGACCGAGCAATGAATTCTCTTAGAAAGCAGGATACACCTGGTGGCTCTAAAGTTCAGTGACCAAGGAACTGGCCAGTTTCCCTCACGTAATGGGGGTAATAGCACCTAAATGAGTATTAAGAGTCAGAGAGGCCTCTGCTTACAACTGGCAGATGAAACCATCCTTTTATTTTGTGGACAGCCACAGTCTGATGTGTCTTTATGAATTCCTGCTGCATATAATAGTGTTTTACAACTCTAAAAAACATCCTTCAGAAAACCTCACGACTGAATCACTTGCAAATGCAGAAGATCAAATAGCCCCAGGGAAACAAGCACTCTCCTTTTATTGTGGCTTCTTCTCAGAGCTGAAACAACCCAGTCCTATACGCGGGTCTCTCCTCTTTCCAGCACCTGAAACATCGGAGCTTGGATTAACATATACTTCCTGAACCTTGCTCTCCAAGAGGGCTGTTTCCACCGGAAGTGGAGCATTTTGCCATAATGTGTTCAAGATGGTCAATTTGAAAGGGGTTTCAAAATACAGATAGGCCATGCCACCCATGCCCCATTATTTCAGAGCTGAACACGTGCAAATATACTACACTTCCCAGGGTTTGAAGTGCCAGGCTCAGAATCATCTCTAGTCATGTAGAGCAATATTACAACTAGATGGTATGTTTTCTAAAAATTAAAAGAAAATGCAGCATTAGGAGGTACTTACTAAGGTGCTTCTTAATTCATGTTTTTTTTTTTAATGGAATGTATCAGACAAACAACTACAAACAAACATGAATACACAGGCATACACGAGCACGTAGACAGTTTCTGTACACTTTAGGTCTCAGATGCTTATATCTATACCCAAGAACGACACGGCAAAAAAAAAAAAAAGATTTTCCTCTCCCACTCCCTGAATTTCTGAAAGTTGTCTAATTCACAAAATGTTAAAATATTTCACTTTCATATAAAATATCTACAAAAATAGATAACATTTACAAAAACCAGACAGTATTTCCAGTTTTCCTTAGCAACCAATAACTCAGTCCCTTCTTCCTCCTTTTCCTCTCAGAACGTTGCCATCTCTAGCAAAGAACGCTTGAACAGCTGAGCATTCCGGGACAGGTCTGTCACCTGGTGGACCATCTCCTGCAGGGCGGGAGTGCTGGGGTAGTGCAGGGCCGCCATCTTGGTCGCCATGACTATAGTCTTGAGCTGTTCGCACAGCTGGTTGCTGGAGTTCATCACTTTGTTGCGAATGTCCTGGGCAGCCACTTGTCTCGTCAGTGTGTCTCCAATGAACACCAGTTTGTGTGCACTGAGGATGACAAATTTGCTGTGTGCCACGAAGATCCGCGGGGGCTGGGCCGAGCTGACACAACTGAAGAGGGCATCGATGGCGTTGAGAAGGGAAATGAAGTGGGTCTCACACTGGTCATAGTAGAAGCACAGCAGCTGCCGATCCTGAGCTCCCACGCTGCCGTGTGTGGTCGGGAGGCTCTGAGACGGCTTCCACTTGGAGATGTCATTCTCCACCGGCTTTGTAATTTCTTGTTCCAACAGCTGGAACTGGCTCAGCTGCAAGAAAGATAAAAGTTGATTTCATTAGGGCGAGGCAGTGGGTCGCAATGGAAATTAACCTGGGCTTGGAGTTAAAAGATAGGGATTTTAAGCCGTAATAAGTGTCAGATGCTTATTAGCTGTGAGGCCTTGGTCAAGTCGCCTTCCTTTCCTGAACTGTAAAATGCAGATGCTGGGAAAGATGATCTCTAATGAATCCTCCAGCTCAGACCTTCTGTGACTGGACTACTGGTTTCTTCTGCCCTCTGGCTAGAAGGCGGCTTAGGGTTTTAACCCCAGCCCTGTTACCTACACCTCTATGAAGGTTAAGTGAGTTAATNATAAGTGTCAGATGCTTATTAGCTGTGAGGCCTTGGTCAAGTCGCCTTCCTTTCCTGAACTATAAAATACAGATGCTGGGAAAGATGATCTCTAAGGAATCCTCCAGCTCAGACCTTCTGTGACTGGACTACTGGTTTCTTCTGCCCTCTGGCTGGAAGGTGGCTTAGGGTTTTAACCCCAGCCCTGTTACCTACACCTCTATGAAGGTTAAGTGAGTTAATATTTGCAAAATGCTTAGAATAGAGTTTGGTACATCTTAGGCTCTGTGCAAATGTTTATTGAATGTTGAGTGGTGGCAAGGCACAACTAAATCTAGTGATCATTTTGTCAAATAAATCACCAACAGTTTGCTCCTTCTTGGGGAAAAGCCTTGATTATCGCTTCAAGATGCTCAGATGAAATTTCAATTCATGACCCTTTTCTATTTCTCCTACTCTTTCTGTCAAGATTTGTAGATATGTTATAATCCAGCACCACAGGGAAGACTAATGCATGTAAACGCACGTGCACTCATGGAAGAGAACATCTCTAAGTAAATCTGAATGCTGAATGTGCATCATGATACTTAGCCCCCCAGAGCCGTTAAAAGAAAAGGGGCTTGCACAAAATCAGACTTTTTTTTTTCTTCTCATGAATCAGACTTCTTTTTTTTCTTCTCATTGCCCCCAACTGGTGTATTATTTTAATTGCAATTATAATAATTGCAATTAAGAGGACAGACCTCTTATTTGTGGGTACGGACTATCTCTGACTTAAGCTTGGAATACAGTTAATCTCCCACCCTGAGGTGGGGCTGAGT